ATTTCAAATTAAATTAATATTTTAATCGGCGTTGTGGAGCTAAGCGACAGGTCGATTCCAATTGTTTAAGTATGAGTGAAAACGAAATGTTGCGTGAAAAAGATCACGCAGCATCATGAGTTGAGGGGAATTGTTTTCCTAAAAATAAGATCAATCCATTAGATGTATGGGAGGGCTCTTGTGGAAAAATGAAGATCATTTTGTTGGTACTTTCAACCGCAGCTCTTATTGCAAGCAGTGTTGTGCACAGACATTGAAAAATGTCTGCGAAACACAAAGACAAAGACGTCTTTGAACATATCTTTAAAACACGAAGCCACAGACGTCGTCTTTTGGAAAATGATTGCAAGTCATGTCTGCGTGTTTTGAAGACATGTTCAAAGACTTCTCAAGAAAAATTTACTAAAAGCGCTTATTATTTCTAGTGTTCCATAATTTTTATCAACTTTCAGTGCAAGTTACTAAAAATTATAGCACACTTGTGAAGCAAGCTTAAATAGATATTTTCTACGCTCACTAAAAGTTGTAAAAAATTGTAAAACACATGCGAAAATAAGCGCTTTTAGTAGATTTTCTTAGGAAAAAATCTTGTTTTTCAAAAATGTTTGTAAAACACAAAGACGTTAAAAAATGTTTGCGAAACACGAAGCCACAGACGTCTGGCAGACACCGAAAATATGGCTGGAAGTCGTGTCTGCAAAACATGTCTGCGGTCTGCCAGTCATTTTTTCGAAGACACAAAGACATGTCTTTGAAAATTTGCACAACACTGATTGCAAGTGAGTTACTTAATTTCTAAATCAAATTGCCGTAATAATTTAATTTACGTATCTAATTATCTTCCAGTTTGCAGTGCTTAGCATAATGAAAAATTTGTCACAATACGTAAGGAAAATATTTCTTTGTTCTGATTCTTCTTATTTTATTTATTCATTTATCAATTTCTTCTCATTGGTATGTTTTTTGTCATTTCAATGAATATAATTTCTGTTTTTATTTCCCTTCAAGCCCCTGAAGAATCTCCTGACACACCTGACACTCCTAACACTCCTGAAAATTCACTGTGCGTCGATGAATGTAGCGATATAAGTGTAACGATCAGAACTCTGTCAATTGAATTGAATGAACTTTATATAGAACTGATGGCAAAATCTTGAAATACTTTTAATTGAAGAAGATTGGACAGCTTTTGTTATCTGGATAAATAATCCAAAAGGCAATGCACCCTTCATACTGATAGGCACTTACGATTTTACTATTGAGGATTGGCAAAGAGTTATAACTATATTCATACGTATCATAGAAATATCAATACAAATTGAAACATATTCATTAACCGTCATATATTTGGACTGGAAATGCGATCTTTGCGTATTTGATTTGACAATCATTTCGACTTCAATTACAATCAACATTATTAATATCGATATAACAATTGAAGTTAACGTAATCAGACTTACCAGAACATCCCGATTAATTCTTTTGATACCATAGGCATAAACTAACGTTTTCCATTAAAATAGTCCAATATGATATTCAATACATCATATTGCAGCAACCAAAAAAATTTAAGAGAATAAAAATTCTTGAAAATCAATTTTGATACTTTGAACAAAAATTTATTTTTCAGAAACAATCATCTTAAGACAGATTAAAAAATCATCAATAAATTTCGGTGAATGTGTTACATTTACAGCAGAGTTCAGGCACTAAGTAGTGTTTTTTGATGAAAATGGTCATTTTTGCTGGCAATTTTTTGCGATGAATTGGCTCTTGCTACAAAAAAATCGAAACTTATGTAAATACATAATATTAATATTACTTACGTATTATTGTTCATTTTAATAGGAATTAATGCAATCAAATTGTTCTTAATCTCTGTATAAGCAACATTTAGTAGATAACACATACAGATAAGTTTGATGGTATTAAACAAACTGTAGATCGTCAATTATTATCATTTTCAGTAACATTGTTGCTCTTTATGATAGACTTGATAATTTATGTTAAATAATTTATTAAAATTCAGTATTGATCTCTTTGAAAATAAGTTTAAGATTAAAAATTTTTTGTGTCATTTTAATAATAAAAGTTTTTATTGGCAAATATGAAATATTGTAACATTATCAAATCCTGATTAATTATTTAAATATTCAGAAAGTTGTCACATGAAATTATTCTTTAATTTGCATTCTTACAAACACAATCCTTTCCTTCACAAGATCCACCTGACATTTTCTGTTCTTTTTTGCACCATCTACTGCAAGAAGCGTTCCTAGCAACTGAAGGAATCCACTTCTTATTGCAACCTTTGAATGATGGCAAATCCATCATTTCTTCACCTTCAACTGATGATATTTGGGGTTGAAAATATTTTCAGAATGTTTAAAAATAAATAAATTTACCAATTGGCACTTCATCGCTTTGACTTCCAACGCTATTCGCTGAACAATATGCAATTACGACTAATGCAAGGAAAGTTACGAAAATTATCTTTGTCATTTTATTCAATTTTTTTTCTAGATTTTGATTCGTGAACAATAAATTTTCAACTGATGAAAATAACTCACATTTCTCGTCTTTTTATACATTTCAAAGGTGAAATAAGGCTAACTATCTCCAAGAAAGAATCCCTTAGATTATTAATTATGTCAGCACATTGATAAAAAGAAAAACAACCTCATTTGACATCTTTAATTTTCAAATGTTGCAAATGTTATTGATTTGTGATAAGAAATTTACGGTGAAAAATTATAAGAAATATCGGTCAATAGGTAACATCCGTCACACTTACGCGTTTTTATAAATAATCTGTAATCCTATTTCATATCATTTCTCAGAAAAAGCTTATAACACTTTTTTTTCTTAAACAAACGTACTGCGATATTTTAGTTATGAAATGAATTAAACAAAACCCAAAAGGTCAAAAATTATTCAGAAATAAAGAAATAAGAGATAAACAACGAAAAGAATTTCTTTGTTAAAAACTGAAATAAAAATACTGTTGAAAACTTCAAATAAAATTAGAAAAAAAAACAAATTTGCTTTTGATCAGAACAATCTTGATCAGCTTTTAATATTTTTTGAGTTTAAACTTTTACTAAGCTTTTATGTTTAAGCTTAAAAAAATGAGAAAAATTAAGAAAAACTTGTCTCAAAAGTAGAATTTTTCAATTTTATTAATTATATCATTATTATAATCTTTCAAACATGTTGCATCAGATGTGCAAATTTCTTCTAAAAATTCATTTTCCTTTAAAATATTTTAATGTCATAATAAATTCTTAAATATTTGTGTTTTTTAATAGACAAGATTTATCTGTTTTAGATGTTTTATTGATTGCATAATTGTCGAAATTGTTCATTCATTTATAATATATTTTATTTTGTGAAAACGCCAACCTCGCTTTCTAATTACATTCACATATCAATGTATTTGGATTGCATTTTCCACCTCGTCTGTTCAAAACTTTCCAGCAGAAAGTGTCACAAGAAGCATTTTTAATGAACCATGGAAGTCCTTTTTGGGAACAGACTTCATATAAACCGTCTATTTCTGAATCGTCTTCTGAATAAGTAGAGTTACAAAAATAGTTTCAAATTAAAATCTTAAATTTACCCTTTGGAATTTCATCATATGCGCTTTCAACGTTATCTGCGAAGTCATTAGACCGATGACATGTACAAATGTACGTTTTGTTATCACAATACCCTCCTCGTTTGTTCTGAACTTTCCAGCACCAAGTGTCGCAAGCAGCATTTTTAATAATCCAGGGAACTCCTTTTTGGGCACAAACTTCATACAAAGCCTCCATTTCTGTTTCTTCTGAATAAGTAGATTTATAAAAATACTTTCATATCAAAAAAATTTTAATTTACCCATTGGAATTTCATCGTTTGGACTTCCAACGCTGTTTGCTGAACAAAGTGCGAAAGCACACAAAGCGAAAAATGTGAAGAAAATAATTTTTGCCATTTTTATTTAATTGATTTAGTTTTGGTATTTAAGTAAAGAATATTCTTGATTTCTTGTGAATAAGTTTGAAACTGATGACCAGTCTGGGTTTCAATTTACTTTTTATACCTTTCTTAATAGGTCAAGTTATGAGCGAAAGAGATTGTCTTAGATTATGTTGATTATTTGATAAAGACATTCATTTGAGTTGTATTCAACTTCAAACCTTTTCAAATAAACCTACATACATACATGCATGAAGATATTAAGAAATTTATGGTGAAATTGATAATTATAAGAAATGTCGGTTAGCAGGTTACATCCGTCGAACTTTTGTTGCTTTACTTAATTACGTACAAAGCTTATTAAGCTTAAGTTTCCTCTTACTAAATTTCAAATAACAACTACGTGTTTTTGCAAAAAAAAATTAGCAATTTTACACTTTTAATTAATATTCATAGAATTCAAGAATTGAATGCCACTAAATTCAATGAATAAATTCTTTTTAAACATTTTTTAGAAATTCATTTCTGGAGACAAATGAAAAAGATATTAAATATCTAAATTCTAACTCGGAAATTCTTAATAAACCATGCCAAGAAATTAAAGTTTTAAGTGCATTTCAAATACGACATTAATTTCTATTACTTAAAGTCGTCCATGCTGCAACATCTTAAAAACTTTTGGATGCCATCCAAAAGGCAATGAAGTATTTTTTTTAAGCGAAATCTGTGCGCTTGAAGGAAAATTAATGAAAGAATCTTTTCTCATTCATTTTTAGCAACAATTTCATAATGAATTTCAAATGAGCCTCGATGTCATTCAAGTGGAAATAAAATATTTTTCAAGCTTTTAATTTTGCTCTTGCAACGTCAGTTGCCGTGTTGGCATTGCAACGAGAGGAAAAAAGGAAAAACTGCTCCAACTTTTCATTTTCAATATTCGAGTTGTATTCAAGTGGAAAATTAAGAGCGTCGTTGGCACATTTATTTGAATGAAATATAATTCTTGTGAGTTTTGGGTCATATCATTCTGTAATTGTTGGTTTGGCTCACCTTCCAATGCTCATAAAACATTCAAACGCGTGTAATGTGCAGCCATAAAAGGCGATTATGTTCATACATGTTCCAAATGTGAATTTTTCTCATTCACTCAAAGCTACAAACGTTCTAAATGATAAGTTGAAAAGCTGATTATTTATGTTCGAACTTCGAAGCAAATGCCAGAAAAAAATATTCGTGAATAGTATTGATGACGAAACTTTTATGACGGATATTAACAACTATTTTATGCTGAATAATTTAATCACCATTATTAAATAGAAATGTTTAAATTGCCATATCCATTTTATGAAAAGCATTTAAATTTTGATGTTGAAAATATTTCAATTAAGGATGTGTTATTAAATTCATCGCTTAGATGTTTCTGAACAAAAGCAAATGAGATATCATGATTGGGTTCTCGAGATATTTCTACATTTAATTTTAATTGTTTCTCTTCTCTTATGTTATGACCAATTTCAATATCTAACTTGAATATTTAATTCGAATCAAATGGATAATTAAACCTGGAAATATTGATTCCAAAGCATTTTCTAAATTGATGAGTTATTATTTTATCTTGCATCAACAGAGATGGATGTTTGAATGGAATAGTTGAAAATATCTTCATAGACAATCAATATTTCATAATCTCTTGATATCTTTTACATCATGTTCTAGGATGCTGTTAGACAAACATTCTTACTTCGCTTTGTTGATTTCTCTCTGGAATCAAAGGTTAATGTAACGAAACAATTCGATAAATTAAATCAACTTCTCAACCATCTAGAATTGCTTTGCTCTTGGTCACGAATATAACTTTATATTAAGTAAGGGTGGAAAGAGAGAAAATTTGCTATTTTTAGAACAAAGAAAATTATTTCCGTGCTGAACAAAGACCAGACTGCCTTCCATTCAAAGTTCTGTTTATGAAAACTTTTAAACATTCAAACAAATTATTTAGTGGAAACTTATATAACGTTTAATAATTCAATTTCCCATAAATGGAAGCAGTAGAAAGTTTGATGAATTAAAAGTGAATGATGCTTTATATTAATGCTTTGTCAATGGTTGACAACGGAATTAAATTAAATTAATTTAGTTGTGTTTCTTTTATATTGCAAACATTCCTAGATTTTATGTTACTATGCTGTTATAAATTATTAAACAGAAACCAGAAATATCAGAATTCCTAAAACAAAAGTGAATGCAAGCCAAATCAAATTTTGATGAATATTTAATAATAGAATCTTCGTTGATCAAATAGTCAAAGTTTATTTCTGAACCAGATTTCCTTTTTTCTCGTTCGTACCTAACACATTTCTATCGATTTTCGATTCTTTGTTGCAATTCATTGAATATATTAAAATAATCTGATTATGTACATCTCTGGTATTGTAGGAGATTGTCAAGTATCACAAATAATGTCAAGTTCGTAGTGATGAAAGAACTGCATGTATTTTTCAACAGCAAACATTCCAATCGGTTGAAGGAGAAAATTCTGCGCATTCGCTGTGAAACTTTCATTTCGGATATTTTCAGATTTATTCAGATTCGTCAATTTTTCTTCTATGCTTCTTCAGTATGTTTTGAGGTACGTCATGGAGCTTTACGTTCTGCATAGAAATCTTAAATCTCTCGCAACGAAATAATTTTTGATCGTAGTAAAAAGCATTTTACATTTTACGATTGTAATATTACATTACCATGTCTCAATTTGAAGGGAGAGAAAAATGGAATTTTACGATTCATAAACATTCTACATTTACTTAAGCAACAAATTAGCAGAAAAACCACGGTGTCTGACGAAAATCAGAATTTTACATGACGGATCTCAACCGCAACCACAAAATTCACTCCGAGAGTCTGTAAGCTGAGAGAAGCCCAATAAAAGCTGAAACCAAAATAATGTTTTTGATGCCAAAGGATTAACATGAGTCTGCATATACACACAACAGCACGAATCATGATGGAAAAATGTTAGTTCTAGAGATAAGCCGTAGAGATAAATCATGTGGATTCATTCATCGGGCCTCAAAAACAACGATAGCAGAGCTTGAAGAATAAAAATGTCGAAAGAAAGCTGTTTGCATTTCATTTTGATTTGCGATAGTTAAATTTTTGTTGAGAAAGTGATGTAAACTGTTCTGCTTTTTCAGCTTTTTTTCTCTCTGCTATTAAGTAACGAACAATGATATCAGTGACTGACTTCGTTGAATGTAATAAATCTCAGATAATCCTCCAGAACATGAAAACGCTTAAAAAGCTAAAACAAGACGAAATACATTTCGCGTCAACTCAATTTGTAAGCTTCTCAGCCTTTTAATTCGCCACGACTTTTTTTTATTTCTTCTTTTCTTTATTCTCTTGCTTGCTTTTCGAAAGCTTAATTGGATTTGCCCGTGGCATTCGTTTAAAGTTTTCCTTATTTGTTTTCTTTAGTTCTTTCTTTCTTCGATTCGACATTTTTATATCGTTTCGTGATCAATTTTTCTTTTTATTCTTCTTCATCTTCGATTCTCTCGATTTCGATTCTAAAGCAAGGAAAGTTTCA